TTTTCTTTGACTTCGCGACTTAAATCCAGCGACTTCAGTCGCGGCGCTATATATATACATATATATATATATATATATATATATATTTGTGCGAAATTTTCCAGTTTCCATTCTCGTGGAAGCACATCGAGCTTAACAGCAGGACTCTCGTCCCTCCGCGGACAATCTCCGAAACGATAATTCATTTATCAAGAAGAATACACAATCGTGCCTTTGTCGCGAAACTGTGGAATATTAATTGACGCTAATTCGCTCGTAGACGCGGTAAGGTACAGAATTATTTCGATCGCGCGCTACGTGACGGAAGTCATCTTATTTCGCGAAGAATATACCTTGGGCTTGGGGATTCTTGGGCCCGCTGTGATTGGTCCTGGCAAACAAAGTTAGCCACCTAATCTCGTTTCTCCCGCTCTACGATTGCTTCTCAAATTCATTCCGCCAGACTCTGTGTATAGGGCGATGAATGTGTGTGTGTACACACACACACACACACACGAACGAGCGCGCGCGCGCATCCGGACGGCGTTTCCCAATCAGTTTAGCATTAGCACGGAAAAGTTCTAATTACTCCGTGTGCGGCGAATAACCATTAGTTCCGCGCGCTTAAAAATTTTTTCACGCCCTCTTTCCGCTCGCCGGGATTTCGAGTGCTCGCACACGTACCGTACGAGCGACGAAATAATTACGCGGAACCCGATTATTCCTCCAAGTTTGTTCGCTCGTTTGGACATTTAGTGCGGTAACGCGCCCGGGCGACATTCGCTGTTTGAAGATCCTCGTGCTCGTTTATATCGCCGAGCAAAAATAATGATCTATTGTTTTTTCTTTTTTGGCATCCAACGAATCTCGAATTGTGTCTCAAGTGTGACGGACGGGAATTTTTGTATTTCTTGTCGCGACAAATAATGCGTTTCAATTCAAATAGAAAAAATACATATATAAATTTTTCTAAATTACATATCTGTGTTAAAAAAATATCTGTCGGAGCTATTGTATATTTTATTTATAAAACTACCAGAGACTTTTTACGATCATACTACTGTCTCGTTCGAAAGCTCTCTCTCTCTTTCTCTCTCTCTCTCTCTCTCTCTCTCTCTCTCTCTCTCTCTCTCTCTCTCTCTCTCTGCCAATTTTGAATCGTTATTAATTACCACGCCGTCTCTCTTATTTCCGCGATCATTAAGGAATTCCGCGGTATGTGGACTCTCAGAGATGTCGGATTAATCAGACGGATTAATCAGACTTCCGCTCCGACTCCGAGACATCTTGTAAGACACGACAGGACTTCGCTCGAAGAAGGCGGCCCGCCCGGCTGATTATCGCAGCTCCGGGCCTAGAGAGAGAGAAAGAGAGAGAGAGAGAGAGAGAGAGAGAGAGAGAGAGAAGAGCAGTGTAAGGGCCGTAATATGTCTGATGTACGCGCGCGAGTTAAATTAAAGTTCGCCGGCGCAGCGGGTGAAACACAGCCTTGTTTCAAAGCCCGTGCGTTAACTGAAAGCCCAAAGTAATCTCACGTACCGATCCCATCGCTTTCCCCCGTTGCCCCCGTCCGCGCGAGCGTTTTAACGTTGCCCCGGTTCTCGCGGCCGGTGCGGAAAACGTTATCCGCGATTTTAACCTGCAACAAAGAGCAATTCCGTTTCGCAATTAATTGCCCGACGAGCAGCGAGACGCGCGCGCATCCGTACCTAAACTACATCCCGTTTAAACGGCGCTGATCGTATCTTATTTTTGTTTTGTACGAGAGAGAGAGAGAGAGAGAGAGAGGTAGTGGGGAGGAGGGGCCGAGGAAAGGGCCGAGGGAAATTGCTCGAAATATACCCTAATTATATTTCCTGGCAAATATAACCGCGTGCGACCCTTAAGCGGCAACATGCGATTCATGTTTCACGTTACATTTCAATTTTGCACGAGCATTCCTATAATAGAACCCTTTTTAGGAAAAGTACTATATAAAATGAATTAAAGTTAATACAGTAATCTAGAATGGCAATATTCTTCCATTAATACGATAGTGCACACATAATGCGAAATTATTAAATTAGTTTACTAAATTTACTCAAACGATTAGAAAATAACTATTTTGAGAATATTTTCGTGAAATTATACACGATCTCGGGTAGGAAAAGAAAAAAGGGGATCACAGTTCTCTTAAAAGATTTATCAGAATAAGAACCTTCTGAGTTTATTATCTCAACCCATGAATATTTTGTCTGTAACTACGCCGCGTTACGACGCAACGCGGCGATTTCTAATCAGAATTTATATTCGAAAAACATGAAACTTGCATTCTGGTTCGCACAATTATTCCCCCTATCACCGATGCACAATAAAAACACGTGTAATTTTCCGGTGAGCTCCCCACGCTATCATTGGTCACACCGGGACCAACTTCAACGTGCACGTACTTCGCACCGTACTCGCCTCTGTCACGGTATCAGACGGCCTGATATCCGATGCTGCTTAGACATTCGCTACTGAAATATTCTCCGGGATTTCCACACGAGTGGATCGGATGACGACCTCGCATTTAACCCGCGCGCATATGCGTACGTGCGTGCGTGCGTGCGTGATGCGTGCGCGCGGAGACACGCACACACGCGCGCGACGCGACGCGACGCTCGGAAACGTGAAACGTGTCGTACAATGCCGCCCGTTAATGGAGTCTCTAATGGTGTTACGGACTTCAACGCGCTTACGTTTTACATCGCACGGTTACATCGTAAAATTTATCTCTCTTTGCGTGCCGACCCCAAATAGTTTATTCGTATATAGGAAAAAAATTATTTTATACCTTGGTATCGAAATTAATGCATTCCTCCGTGAGAGATATCTTTCATTTAAATAAGTGCTTTATCGTCACGCGCGCCAAGAACGATTTTAATATTTGAAAGCACGCGGAGATAAGACACGATGTTTAATTCTGAAAAATAGTAGAACCGAGAAACTCTTGGAAAAATATTATTCTTATTGCAATTATTTTAATATCGTGAAAACATCTTCGGAGGGGACAGGTTGCCGGGCGCGCCTCGCCATTAATGAACGCCATTGTGTGCCATTGCTGGTCGCGGGGACCGCCCGGAATGTATGCGTGCACGCATTCTTCCGACTGTCAAACCACTTCCAGCGCCCGGAGAGCTTTTTAGCGAACTGTCAAACTACGTCGAAGCACGAATTACTCATTCCAACACGTCCCAGCCATCTACGATGTATTCTCGCGAAGTGCAAGCGCGGATCAAAGACCGTGGGATTCCGAACGGACTCTCGAAACATCGATCCTGGACCCTCCTGCTGATGGAGAGAAAGAGAGAGAAAGAGAGAGAGAGAGAAATCGGTCGACAGCGACCGAGACAGATTCGCGTTTAACAGCCGAGCATACCGGAATAATCCGTTACATATAAAAGCACCGCAAAAATATTTTTGCTGTCAACTCTGACAACGCGACGCTCTCTGTAACCATTTCGAAAATAAAATGTCGAGTAATCTTTTATAATTGTTCTATTTTGCGTGCGCGGACAATTAACGTGATGTATTTATGTGTGCAATTTGAGTAATATTACCAATATTTCGTTTTATTTAGATTTAAAATTATAATTCACAATGTTCGGAGAGAGAAAAAGAGAGAAAGAGAGCGAGAGAGACGGAAAGAGGAAAAGAGTGAAAAAGAGAGATATGATGAATCGCTTTTAGAGGGAATTTTGACTTAAATCCATTTGTCAAATGTGTATAACGTCTATTTTTACAATGACGTGTTTGCGATAAAAGTTTAGATCAGAGATGCGATATAATCTCGGCGATAAACTTTTCTAAATAAAATACGCGCTTTTTATCTAGTTTTTAAGTAATTTACCTTCAGCATTCCCCGATCAAAATGGATTTTAAAAATTAAACCGTCTTATTAATTGGCAAATTTCGAGTGATGCTACGTTCGGAATGCACGGCGAGACGAGCAATTTATTATTTTTATGCGATTTCGTTCTCTTTTTCGTCAAATATGCTAGATGCATCTCGAATGCAACCGACCGGAACTGGCGACAGCTGAGACAACGGAAGTAAGATGGCGGGACCCGCATATTGGTATCTTGACCTGGCCGTTGTTAAGTCAACGTATCACATCGCGAGTGTTGGTAAACTCCCGTTCCCGTAGTTATGTAATTATATTAGTGTTAGTGCAATATTCTCTCTCTCTCTCTCTCTCTTTCTGTTTATTCCAAACTAGATACATGTGCGAATACATTGGAAGTTTGCAAGTTTTCTCACTACAAACAAACGAAATTTGAGCCACAGCTTATTGGTTGGTGTAGTTACACTAGAGTTGCATGCTTGCCATATAATTATCAAGAATAATATTTTTTGTGTGGCTATATGATAATTACACGCATTTCTCTTATTTTTATTGAATTGTTACATTGACAGTTTTATTGTGTTTTTTGTTCAAAACACTATCTTCTCTCGAATACAAACGTCAAATGGAAATGACAAATCGCGATCGTCACGTGTTTAATATTTCGGTAAGTTTATGCTTTTTTCCATAGTTTTATAAAAAAAACATTTACGATAAAATTACAGGAAATCATTAAATTTATTAAACTAAATATTGTATCTAAAAGCGTGATTTTAATACACATGTAGACATCTTGTGGAATATCCGTCGAATATACTCCGGAATCCGTGGTCCATAATCTTTTTAAGATAAATATTCAGTGTTTTTCGGCATTATCTGCTTTAGATATGATTTCGTGCGTTGACTTATAGAAGTCACTCAGAAACTCGAATCTAAAAACCAGCTGAAGCGCAAAACGCTGAACGTGGTGAACAGCAGTCGATGGTACAGAGAGCTCGACGATGTACGCGCGACGATCAATACGCGCTTCGGGTAAGCGTGCCACCATCTCTTCTCAGGGCTCGGAAGCTCGTCGTGAAACTGTTTCATTCGCGCCGCAAGTGCTTCGCAATTTGTTTGATCGATAATTAAACCAGATATGTTCAGTGGCCCGCATCAGGTGATTACGGAATGCCACCAGAAATGCGTTTTAATTAATAAAACACATAAATTTTGCCGGCGCAACACGATATCATCATTTAATTACGCAGGTGTGAAAAGTATCGCGAAATTGTTCAACATGTCTCGTCCATCAAGATTAACGCAGCCCAGATATTCGTTGCAGAAGCTACGTGTTGTCGAAGGAACGAAGTATGTGAAATAATACAAGCGATATAACAGAATTAATGTGTGATCACGATGAAACAATTTTATTACGCGATATGTATTTTTCGTATTTTATTTATTTATTTTTGTTTTTAATTTTAACGTCAGTCGAGCTTTATTTATCATCAATTATATATTTACACATTGAAACACGTGTTGTGTTACAATACATTAGATATATATTCTTGCTGTAGATGGGAACGTCCGTTTCCTAAACCGAAGGCGCACTGGAAGAAGCTTTGCGACGACGAAGAGAAGAAATGTTTCAGAGTAAGAGATCCCTTCACAACATTATTCTCCTTTCCTGTTATTCCCAATTCGCGCGATTTCGAAACAAGTTTTCGTGATATCGCGAATTTTACCGCTCCTCAAGGCTCCTTCGACGAGAACGTACCTCTTGCGGATTCAAAATCCGCGCGTTCCAAGGATTCAGAAATTTCCCCGGGGAAAGACAACGATGTCCAAATGTCCATCAAATCAGAACCGATAGTTAAAATTTCCCCTCCCACGCCGTTGAAGAAGCAAACCCACGCAGTCTCGAACGTTGTCGAAGCGCAGAAGGAAGAACAATCTGTGCTCGTTGCCGTTGAAAATACATTCGCGATAAAAAGTGCGGATCTGCGTGAAGACTCGAAGTTCCATCGTCTTTCTCCCAACACCTCTGTCACATCGCACAACAAGTCGCGCAGCGGGAGAATCTACTCAAAGGAAACGTGTCCCCATCACAGACACGAAACCGCGATAAAAATTTTCGACGACAACATTGAGAAGTATCTGAGAAACGATCCGAGAACCGCGTTGCCGGAACGAAAAGACGCGCATCAATTGCCGCAACTGCGGGACGCGTTTAAATATGATCAAGTCGGGAGCGAAGTAACCTCCGCCAAGAGAATCAAAAGGGTTACAATCCCACGAAGAAGGGAACATCATCTGGATGACGTTATTGATTTAATCGCAAATAAAACTACAAAGGTCGAATCTAAAGATAAACGGAACGACACGGCAGAACGTGAGCGGCGCAACGTTAGGTCCGACGTTCCTACGTCGGATCTTGAATTGTTTGTCGGAAAAAAATCGACGAATTTGGCGAGGGATGCAAAAATGAAATCCGCGCTTCCCGAATTGGTTCAGCCGTCAAACAAAGCTAAAAGCGAATCGGGCAAATTAATAACAACATCTCCGAAATCGCAGAAACTATCTCTACACGCGTTCGAAATTCGAGACGAGCGCGTCGATAATTCAGGATGACAGGATAAAGCGTTTGACGAAACGCGGTGTAATTTTCAAACGAAATCGAAACAGACAGCAGTCGATGGCAGTGCGCCGGAACGCTTAAATTATTCGGCACACGCGCACAGAGCTCTGAAACAGTTGACGCTTGACAAAAATGTAAATTTCAAGTTGAAAACGCGGGAGGAAACGTTGCGATCGCGCGTTTCCGCTCACAGATCGATAGCGGATACGGATGACAAGTCGGTCGCGGCCGAGAGCGAAAGTCCCGGGACTGACAGCTCGGATTTTCCCTCGTACCGCGACACGCAGAGAAAATTGAGAGAAATGTGGGCTCCGAATATCGAGCAGAGTGTTAAGTGCAGGCTTTTGAGATCAGGCTCCGGCAAATCATCTTCGATGATACCCGCGAAATCGTTGGCGAGGTCGGCCCTAAGCGTCAAATTCGCCCGATACGAAACCCGGCGGAGCCGTTCGGCCGACGTTTTAGACGCCATTCCGACGGCGTCGTGCTTTCAGCGCAGGAATCCCGACAGGTGCTTACCCTGCATGCATAAATCCCTTCTGCGGAAGGCAGACGAAGGTGTCCCCTCGCGGGCATTTCCGCTACCGGAAATTGAGCGGAGAGACGACAGCGAGTCCAGTTCCGATGAGCTTTCGGAATTTTACGAGGAAGTGCGAAGGATATATTCCGAGAAGAAAGCGCTTCCGAGATACTCCGAACGAGTTCGCGAGGATAAACCAACGTCGCGTCAGGAAGAACAAGAAGAAGACGTCGCGATTCCGACCAAGATCGATGATCCGGGTCAGCCTAAGGAGAAAACGTTCAAGTCCAGCGAGAATCTGTTGTCGAGAGATCGAAAAAGCGTGAAAGCCACTCCGAGTTCGATCTCGATCTCGTCGGAGCGTTCGAGGATCTCGTCCTCGCACTCGTCCGACGACGAGACGTCGTCCCCCCTGGCGCTCGACAACGATCCGTCGCAGTACAAAAATATGGCCCCTTGCCACATGCCTACGGTCTTGGTGCCCAGCATGGAGCCCTTCCGAGCCCTGAGAAGGAAATCGACTATCATCAAGGAATCGCGAATCGCTCTCACGGAGGAGAGCGCGGCGAAGGAGAAGTCCGCCGACGAGGTACGTCACGACGACGACAACGACGACGACGACGATGCGAAAGCCGCGAAAAAAACGGCGAGGGAAAAATCGCAGCCGATGCAGAAGAAACCCGACGAGAAATCTGAGAGGAGGAGTAATGAGGACGAGGGGGAAGATGAGAAGGAGAAAGAGGATACGTTCTTAAATAAAACGAGAGTTCTTCAGAAAATTAAGTCAGAGCAGCAGATGACATCGCCGATCGTGGAATCCGCGCGAAGGGACGAGCTGAAGAGGGGACACAGTTGCGCCACCGTCGAGGATTTATCGAAAGACTCTACGAGAGGTACGTTCGAGACTCCTCGAAGCAAGGTGGAAAACGGCCGAGAGAGAGTAATCTCGGAGGAGAAGGATTCCGCGAAGGAGTCGGCTTCTTCCTGACGGGGCCTGACGGACGCGGAAAGACGGACGGACATGCCGCTGTTAACGGTCGCCGAAATATCGCGATTTCTTGCAAAAGAGATTCGGGAGGGCGCGTCGGCCGCGACCATGCTGGAGATCCTGGCGAGGGAATTCTCCTCGCGGCTGATAAAACAACAGAGCACCGCGGCGGGAATTAGGCGCGCCAAATTAGTCGCGGGATTAACGAGCGCGCTCGCGAACTCGAAGCGTTACCTGAACCCCGATCGGTTCTCCTCTGATCTCGTTTTCTCCACGGAACAGCCGCCGGCTTGTAATTCCCGTTTGCTGAGACGCGCGTTACCGCTCGAATCCTACAATCTCGTCGCGCCGTTGCTGGGCATGCCGATCTGGTGGCCGAAGAAAAAAAGAGTCAAGAGCGCGGTCGAGGTCGAGGCCGAAATAGAAGCGGACGAGGAAATGGAAGACGAGATCCCATTCAGTCTGGTGGTACGTACAATACAATCGGGACGATTGTTGATTGATTTAACGCTGTTGATCTCTCGTGACGAAAAATTTTCACAATCGTGAAATTTTTCTACCCAATGAAAACGTTATCGTTAGCAACTTAGAAAATTTTCCATTTTCAATTAAACTTCTATTAAGACAGAGACTCGGAGAGTTAGCATTACCTTGAAAATTGCAATTCTTATCGCATTATATACTTTTTTCGCGTTGAATAAATCGGTTACTTAAGTTGGAAATGCAATATCTCATTTAATACTGAGGGAATTCTATCATTTCGCGAAGTCCGCTTTGTCGGTTCGAGAGTTATTAGTTGAAAGTAAGCTTTTATACGCTCGCAGGTGCATCCTCCGACGACCAGAGACATTTCGACGAACGGAGATGAGCATAAAGTAGGTCAGGTCAGATCGAATCCTTACGCTCTCTTTTTGAGAAAACCGCGACGCAAGGTAAGGTGACCGACACGGCGCGAAATAATATTATATATCGCTCTTTCTCCATCGCGCGCACGACAGTTTCTTCTCCCGCGTGTTAGTTAATTCCGAACAACTCGCAGGTTGTAACTTGGCGTCCTTTAACGGCGGCCGATCTCAAAGGCTACGATCCCGAGGCCACGCTCGAGATGCGAGCGAGAAACATTACGGACAGGATATGCCGTGACTTCTGTCAGTGGTTGCGCAGTTTAGGCGGCGCCGAGAAAATTCTCGACGAGGAGGTCCTCCGAGAAATGTTCGAAATTGACTTTACGGCCGAGGCGAGCAGAACAATGCAGGTATATAGAAACAAAGTGGATACCACCACGACGTTACACACTATTGCGTTATCACCTATGCGTCCGTGATAATGTGCCCTGCTGGCGTCATATTGCGAGATGCATGATGTAACAACAGCGCACGCACTTCGAGATCGGCGAAACGTAGAGCGGGGAGGATGGGAGAGAGGGAAGGAGAGGACGAGATTTGAATTATAACTTTAGCGTGATATCCATCGGACTGACCTGATTGCGCTCACGTCGTCGTCTCGCGAATAAAACGCGCGTCGAATCTCCGGACGAATTAACGTCACTCCTAAAGAAAATTGCAAATAATTCGAATTTGTTTTTCTTTTTTTTTTTTATATATAATTAATAAAGAAATATTCTTCGTGTTCGACGCGTATTTCAGAAAGTGAGAAAACGAATTATTTGTCGTTTACGTGTTAATCGCGCGCGTCTGCTTTGAGACAGATATCGATGAAGGAAATGCCGATGGTGCCGAACAAGATAGCCGAGCTGAGACAATGTCCCGAAGCGGGCGAGTTCACCATGACCAGGAAACACCTGCTCAGAGACGCCAAAGCCGAGAGTAAGCCGGCCAAAACAATGGCGTTTGGTACCTCGATACCCTGGGAGCATCAATTTGTATCGCCCCGGAATCGGGTGTGGGAGAGATGGTTGCGGTGCGAGAACGTGATGCGGGATCTAGAGACGATGGATGTGGTCTGGAAGGGCATCACGCATTTGGACAGCGTGAGGACCTTCGCCAAATGGCTCCTCGAGCACAAGAAAGTACGAGACTATATTCACGTAGATCTCGCTTACAAGAGTTGGCTACTTTTTTTTTTTTTTTTTTATCTCATCTCTCATTTCAGATGTCGCTTCCGGACGCGCTGATGAGCGCGACGACCGATACCGCGAAACAGGTGATGATCGACGACGAGAGGGTGGAAGCGAACGAAACGGCGGTTTTAAAATCGTAATCGACGTAAACGGCAGCTTTGTAATCGAGCGATCGTCGTCAATGTAACGATCGACGACGGGAAAAGGGGCGTAGTGAGAAGAAATTGTCGATCGCGACACACTCGAAGCGCTCTCTGGGTTCCGCCATCGCGCCAAATACGGCCCGTGTAACCGATACGACCGCACGATGACACGACGCAGAACGCCCATTTCCTGTATGCGGCGAACGGTTAACCTCCGTAGCCGCCGTTCGACGCTTCAATCGCGAACAATTCCCGGCGAAATTTCGACAAACGTTCAATTACGAGATCTAATTTTCGGCTAATGATCGTCGCGTTTCGTTTTCGGCGGCGCGGCGACGTTTCGTACCGCGGAGGCGCGCGTTTAACGCGGAGTGGTAGGAAAATCAAGTTGCTTTCTCCGCGCCGTGGGGCTCTCGGAATCAAAATGTATGGATCATTAAAAGGCGCGCGAACGGTTACCGGGCCATCATTCCTGATTTGGTGTGTAGATTGGATTAACAGTCCGATTTCACGGCGCGAATTAATTCATTGGCAGCCGCGCGGCGTAGCGCAATCGACTAATGCCACGTATTTCGGCTGCATCAATTATCGATCATTCAAGCCTCATTCCACCGAACTCGATTAAGCGCAGTCGTGTGATAATCATTGTAATATTAATATAATGATATATACATTTGCTCATCAATAACGTGGTGTAACAGCTCATCGGGCATTGGGAAGAAACGAAAAAAAAAAAAAATAAAAAAAAAGTGCAAAATGTTCTTCTACGAAACATACGTATTTAAATCAAAGGGTTAATTAATTAATATTCCGCGTTTGCACGTGTTCTGTGTTCGCATGTGTTTGCAGCTTTTCAAGCTTAATTAACAACGCGCACGGATGCGCGTTACACATCGCGCGTGCAACTACCTGCTACTTTAAAAATGATTTCTCGTCGCGCGACGCGACAAGAAAGAAAAAAATAAATTCACAATGAAAATGTGGAGCAAAGCCTTGCAGCTGAACCATAAAGCCGACGATCTCGCATCGACGAGTTGTCTGGCGAAATAACGCAAACGAGCCGATGAAATATTGGAAACGTATCACGAACGCCGGATGTCCTGACAGTGCCTGCTTACGACGGAAAACGCGCCTTAGACAACATCGCAGCGGAGGAGGAGGGAAAAAGGAGAGCGGGGGAAAGAGTGGGATTCACCTCGTTTGCGATGCATCTTCTTCCTTCCCTTTTTCTCCCGTTGTAATTTCTTTCTCGTTTTTTATTTTCTCTCGAGCGCGCAATATCGCGAATTCGCAAATTATCATATCACGTCGACAGATGAAGAGAGATTCGTTGTGTCATTACAGATCGCAACGATGTCGCTGATTTCGCTTCAAGATTAACGACGATACAAGAAAGATGGTTTTGAACTCGAGAGCGATCCGCAATTAATTTGAATTTGATACGCGGTTTTGAATCTCTTTTGCTTATTTGTTTTTATCACTTGCCTGACGGCGGTTTCTGCGCGAAAAACACAGAGCATTATTTTCGCGCACGCGTTTTGGTGTGTTAAATATTTGTCTCGCTTGATGTATTCAAACACCAGGAAGAACAAACGTAATATTTTTAAGCAGTTTATTGACTGTTTTTGTTTTCGTAGTTTAAATACGGTCGGACAAACAATGCGGATGCAATTTTTCTCTTCGCATCAGCAGGTTGTAATTCACAATCTTAAATGACGATGCGCAAGTTGAAGAAAAAAGGACAAAAAAATATTACATTATTGAATGCCGATATATTATAACGAGTTTCTTTTCTTTCCTTTTTCTGGAATAAATCTGCGTGGAAAAAATAATAATTTTATAAAAACAGATTAATACAAAAAAAAAAAAAAAAAAAAAACAGATTAATATATCCCGCGCTAATAATAACAAGAAAACTATCCGGTCGTCTCGGATACTAACGAGGACACTGCTGAAAAATCTCGAACTTGCAAGATACAGAGAGCGCTCTCGTTGTTCTTTTATTTTAACCCCTTTTCCGAGAGAGATCTGCCCGGTGAGTCACGAACTTTGCGAGAAAGAGGAAAAAAACGAGAAAAAGAAGGGCCTTTTAAAAAGGAGACAGAAAGGGAATCGGAAGCGCATCGGAGGCACAAGGAGGGGAAGGAGGGTGAGTGGGTGGTTGGACGAGCGAAGGGGGAGTTTAGAGTCATCATTGGCCATTGGCCATCCGTTTCGCTCCACTTGGGACGAAGGATCCCGCTCGACCGAGAAATTTAACAAGGCGCACGCTCCCGACTGACAATAGCCAACTTTCCTAGCGCCCTCTCCCTCCTCCCCTCTCTTCACCGCGTGTGCCGGGGTTTTAATTACTTCAATTTGAGCCGAGCTCGCCTCGCGATTCACACTGCGAACGGGAGTCAACTTGGCCGACGGTCTCGCGATTTTTCTGTCGGATCGTTCGCCGACGTCCGCAAAAATAGAACGTGCGGCGAACGGTGTTGGTCAGATGAATGAGAGTTAACCGCCGAGTGGTACTTTCGCACGGAACAAGTTTAAAACGCGAACTTCCGCCCTCGTCAATCCGGTTTTGCGAGTTTGATCAGCTGACTTTGTCGCGCGCTGTTACCGTTTATTCGATCGATTTTAATTGCGATTTTATTCGCTGATACACTTTTTTTTTTGTCCGTTGAAATTTTGTCGAGAATATACGTACGCGACCCGCGAACCGAAACCAAACTACACATTTGACACACATCGACTCCGATTTGACGCGTAGTTTCAAGATTGGAATATTGATACGTATCGTAATTCTCTCTCCTTTTTTCTCCCTTTCTCTCTTCTCTATTTTCCCTCGACTGTCCCCGGCACGCGAACCTGTGTCACGTTCTCACGAAATGCACCGCGACTCGCTATAACGTACGTACGCGATGCACTTTCGATAGGTTGTGTAACGATCGCGCATCTTTATATTACGCCATAAAATGTAAAGTAAGACGCGCGATCACGCGCGAATACCCACGGTGATTATCGTTATCGTTATTGCGCAGTACCTTTGACGAAAAAAAAAGTCACCGGAAGCGAACACTCGATTTCGGCCACTTTATTCAACCTCGCTCGCACTCGATAGCGCGGACGAGCAATGCGTTCCCGGGATACCGAGAGAATCCTAAGCGCGCGAGTAATCGAATCGATATCGGCACACACACATACAAACACACACACAGAGTCTGTTTTATTTCTTTTTTTTTCCTCCATCTCCCGGTACAAAAATACGAGGCTACGAGTTCGCCGCGCATCTCGTTTCTCCTATGCATTCTTAAATTCTCAAGATGCCCGAATTCTTTCGTTTCTTCAATATACTTCCCGCGTTAACTGTTGCGCGTAACAAGATGTCGAAATTCTGTACTACGGAAAACATTAATACGTGAAAAAGAAAACAAAATCTAACAACGCGCTTTTACTAAAATTTTAGATATCACTATATTTACGTATTTACATTTGATCGTGAAGACGATTGAAATTTCAAATACAAAATGTTGTTTATTTCTAATATGTTATTAATTTAATTAAATTTTATAGTCGCGAAAATAATAATTATTATACAATAATTTAACTCGTCGTTTCAAAATCGACAAGTGTTCATTGTTCAGAAAAAATGATAGACCAGGGAAGATGTGCAGGGCAACATGCGATATACTATATGTATATATATATATACATATATATATATATACATATATATATATATATATATGTACACACGTATGTATATACGCGCATAGATACGGAACTGCGAGGCGATCCGCTTCGTTACCTGCGAGCGATATACGGCGGAGAGGTAAAACACACACGGTCGCACGCACACCCGTTCACAAATCAGACGAGGAACGCTTCCTGCCTGGCTATTCGGCCACGGTCGATCTATTGTCACAAAGTTACGCGATAGCGCACGTTGTCAGCACGCGCGCGGCGACACCTACGTAAACTTGTAATAAAAAAAAAAAAAAAAAAAAAATGAATCGTTGATATAATTCACGCACACGGAAACTGTCAAATATTGAAACAGCGTGTACCACGTTGTCCTATATTCGCGACTTCCACGCGTGTTTTTCTCTCTTCCTCTCTTTTTTTTTTTTCATACTGCGCACATTTCGAGAAATGTATCGCGCGATTAAAAGTTTTAATTTATTTTTCATATCTCTTTCTCCGTTTGTGTGCGCGCGTTCTGGATAATGTGTGCTTGCGCAACACAACTCGTTACACAAAATCGAATCAACGTTGCGCGCTAGACCTAGGTCGTGCGCGAGATAAACGAGTACGTTGGCGGAAATGTGATTTATTTTTTCGTACGCCACTCGATTGAATTGTCAAGACACGTTTCTTTCGGCTTTTATTCGCACGTTTTCGCATTGATTTCGAAGAAACTTCCGACGAAACGCGCGCGAGCTTCATCACGCTTTTATCAAGCGCGAGAAATTTAATTCCCAGTAAGTAAAAAATATTCCAATTGTCACGGTAAATTTTGCAAAACGCGAAACCTCGATTATTAAACTGATTTTTTTTTTCTCCCCTATTGAACTTTCTCGTAGCGAGGAAAAAGACCGCGCTTGTCATCGCGATTTGTCATCATCGGATTCGGAGAACTTGGAGCGACGAGTTTCGTGCGGAGGATTACCGCTCGTCGTAATGGGCTTCGTTCAACATCCGGTCGCATCCGGAAGGCCGCTCCCGTCACGGTTACTCCCGACGTCGTTACATCAGCCGAGCGACGCGAAACAAGCGCACGATTCTTCTGTTTCGCTCGTGCGTCACGTAGCATTATTGTTAAAAGTGCGCTTGTGTGTGCGTGTGTCGCCGATACACACGCGACACTACAAACTCGTCGTCGTTGCCGCAGTCTATCGATGTCCTTTGACCCGGTGACATCCCGATAAGCCGAGCGAGCGAATAACATCCGTTGTCGCGCGAAAAGAAGTCAGTTCGTTGGCGGAGCGCGAGAAGGGACGGACGAAGTGCACTTGTTTTCTTCTGGTTTGAGATCGCGTTTGAGAGTTTCAAGATTCATCTCGGCAAATCTTATCGGTTACCTCGCGCGCTTAATCATCTCGTGCGTATCGAATCGTTACCGCACTTGACGCGCGCTGGAAACCAATATCGTAATGTGACGCGTCACCACCGTAACACGTAACCGATAATAGTATTTTTCTAGTACTCGTTTATTTTCTATGGTTTTTTGACTGACCAAAATAACTCGTCACGAGGTACAGTTGTTATATACATGAATGTGTGCGTGTGTGTGTGTGTGCTGGGCGCGCGCGGAAATGGACATTAAAATCGCGCGAGTTTACACCAACGCGCGCGAACGCACGTTTCTCCCGATTGTTAAACGCGCCGAGGTGTTACGAGGAGACTTCGCAGGGAAACCCCGTCTGCACGGAGAAAACTTTACGGCGAAGCAATTCGAGCGACAGCCAGGGGACACGTGACCGAGGAGCTTCGTTCGTCGGATATAAGCGGAGCAATTAGACAGAAACGCGCGCGAAGGAAGGAGGAAACGCGAGAAAAACCAACGTCGCGTCGGTCGGTGGCGTAAAAAATGGCTTTTCAATGTTCTTCCAGTCGGTTTAACTAAACCCTCGATCGCACTCACGATGTCCTTTCGTGTAGTTCATTAGTCGGTTTCGTTAGTCTTTGTGCGGCGCGCGATAACGAGTTTTAACAGATGTCATTCAACACACACACACACACACA